GTGTCATTGTTTTTAACTATATATGTGTATAGTAAAAACTTTAAAAAAATCTTCTTTCAATATAAAGCCCAATGAGCTAGAGCTTAGACTGTTTAGCATGAAACATCTTCTTATGGGTGTCTACCGAGTTAGTGCAAATAAAAGCCTTTTGGTTAAATTGGCTTTGCAACGTGGGGGGGGGGGGTTTGGGGGGCCTATATACAGGTGAGCGACCTCAGGGCCATCATGGCCCTCTTGTTTCTCCTTTCTATTGTTAATATACCTTTCATATCACTAAAGCAATATTAAGCCTTGTAACTTGGATTTGTTGGCTAAATTTTGGGACTCATAGATTTATAGCCCAGCGAGTCCTAGGACCCACACTGATGAGTTTGTAAAAAAATCACTGTTGTGTTTCATTTGACTGTGGTGTTTCCTACAGTACATGATATGACATAATTATGAATCTCGCATCTGAGCCTCGTTTTGGAGAGGGCAGACGAAAATGTAAATAAACATACGTGGGTCAGTAGGTCACTTGTGAAACCAACATAATCTACAGTGCTACTGGTTGGGAGACATGGCAAGATAGCTCTAACATGAAATTAGGCAAAGCCTATGAATGGTGAAGTTGGTTAAAAAAATCATGCATTTTTCCATTTTAAAGGAGTCATTCGGTACTTAATGCACCACTTCCGTTTTCACTCAGAACACTCAACAAAATATTATTTATTTGTTCCATTATCAGAATAACTCGCCTATTATCATTCAGTTACATTGAAAATGGCGGCACCCAACTATAACTGCCACTGAAAATTTCTTTGATAGATATAGAATTCTGTATAATCTTAAATCTTTTAAATATACACATGTAGTCTATATCCCAGCTACCCAAACCAAGCAACTCTTTTCAGACATTTCAATTGTCTAATTTAATATGAGAAATATGTACACTAGCTTTTTCTTTTTTAGCTTGTCTGTTTCGAAGAAAAATCAGGCTATTATAAGTACTGCCTCTTTAGTTTGTAGCATACAGTGCTCTTTCTTTAGTTTTATAATAAAGAAAGCAAAAGTTTATATGAACCGCTATCAGCTGTGTCTGCTAAAACTCACCAGTACTGGTGTTTTATGAGAAAGCATTGTCATCACCACAGCAGGACTCAATCCCCAAATCCTTGCGTTTGAAAAGCAGAAATCTAGGCCACTGTTTCACTTAAGCATTTGTTCAGCCTAATTTCTTGGGTTGAAAGTGGGAGAGTTCACATGTATGTATACATGTTTATTAATGCATTTAAGGATTATGGCATGTTAAAAAATGCAAATTTTACCAATATTTCATACATTTTTTTGTTTCAAGGTCAATCACATTGGCTATACTAGGGCTTGACAGTGCTGGTAAAACTACAACAACAAAAGCTTTAATTGGAGGTAAATATTCTACTATTTTGAATAAAAGCTATGGTAAATTTGTATAAAATAAACAGGTTTTTTAAAAGAAATTTTGTATTTTTTTGTACACTTATAACCCCTTTTCCCACAGTTATTCTTTTTAGGGGGTGTTTTTGGGGATGAGAAGCTCAGGGCATGGAAAAGGGGGGACATTCCCAAAAAGAGAAAAAAGGTCCACAACCACCGGGGTACTTTCCAATAGAAACATGTAATTTTTTTAAAAATTCTTTTTGTATCTTTTATTTCAATATGATGGGGTTTATGGTCCCGTGGTTTTTAATTTTAAATTGTAATTAAAAAGGGGGCCCCTTAAAATTTGGAACCTTTTTGGACAGGGGAAATATTAATGGGCTTCTAATTTTTTTTTAAGGGTTTTAAAATTTTTTTTATAGTTGCTTTAAAATTTCAAAAAGGGTTTTTTTATTGAGCTTTTTTTTCCAATTTTTAAGGAAAAAATGACTTATATCCCTGGGGGCCCAAAACCCCGGGGTCTAAAACATTTGTTAAATTAGAATTTGGGTGAACTTTTTTTAATTCAGGGTCCCATTTTAATTTTTTAACCTCCTTAAAAAATTTCAAGCCCAAAAAAACCCTTTGTTTTCAGATTTTTAAAATTTTTTGAAAAAATTGAATTCAAGAAAATTCAAAAAGGAAATAGGTGTTTTATAAAAAAAAAATTGTTGATTTTGCTAAAAGAAAATTATTTTTATTTTTCCCACCAAAAAACCTTTGGATATCAGCCCCCAAACCATTGGTTTTCAAAACCCCAAGGGAAAGGATTTTTAAACTTTTAAAAATTAAAAAACCATTCAAATTTTTTAAAAAACCTTGGGTGGAGGTCAACGAAATTAGAGATTTTTTAAAGGAAGAGAGTGCCCTCCAGGGGAGTTTTTGCTTTTTAATATAGTAGGGGACACAGAAGCACCAAAGAAGATTTCTCTGAAGTTCAGCAGACTCTTTCCCCTTCTCTTTTACTGTCAAATGAAAAAGGGTTCAGAGAAAAACCATTAAAATTGTGTAAGGGTTAAAGCTAACCCTTTTTATACTTTTAAATTAAAATAAACCCTGGGGTTTAAACTAAAAAAATTTTTAAATGAATTTAGAAAGCCTTGAAGGGCAGGGTTCGTAAAAATTGGTTAAAAATTTTTCCAAATTTGAGTCCTTTTTTGAAAAAGTGTTTTTAAACAATGAAAAAAATTTTTGTTTTAAAATAGTTCCTCTGAATTTTGATTCCCTCCTCTTGAACGAAAAAAAAAAACCAGTCAGAATTTTCCGGATTTTTATAAAAGACATTTTTTTTTAAAAAAATTTTTTTTTCCCATCAAACTTTTTAGGTTTTAAATTTTAAAAATTTTACCCCCGCAATTTTTTTTTAATTAATGAACCAAAACCCAAAACATCCCTAATGTATTTTCCTTTTGAGAACAATATACAAAATTCCCTTTAATTAAACCCAACTTTATCAAAAATTTTAAAAATTGGTTTGTATGTTCCCCTTAAAATTAAAATTCTTTGGGAATTTTTTTCCCCTCCAACTATACAAATGGTAAAATTTTGGTAAAAACATTTTTAATCAAAAAAATAAATTTTGGCCCACATTTTGGTTTGTAAAAAATTTTTCAAAACTTTTTTTGGAAAAAAGTTAAAAAGAGGGGTTGTTTTTTTTGGTGTTTATCCTTATAAAATTTGGGCCCCTTTTTTTTTTAAAAGGGGCTTTTCTTTTTACATTGTGTATTTTAATTACAATTCCTAAATGTAATTTCCCTTTGCCCTTCTAAAACTTTAACCCCCTTTAACATAACTTTAATTACATTTGTATTTTCTACTTTCCTAGGAAAAACAAAAAAACCTTTTTAACCCCCTCATTTTAAATTTCCATATTGTTTAGAAACATGCTAAAAAAATTAAAAATAAAAAAAACAAGGGGCCAGGGCTGAAACAAATTTTTTTTTTAAAATTTTTATATAAAAAGTAAGATAAAAAAGGAAATTTAAAAAATTTTTTTTAAAAAAATTTAAATTGCCATTTTTAACTTTCTTAAAATTTTATTTTATAAAATTTCAAATTTTGATATTTAAAAAAATGTAAAATATTTAATAAATTTTAAAATAAATAAAATTTAAAAGATTTTTCCTATTTATAAAAAAGATCCTTTTTTCTTTTGAATCCCCTAAAATTAAAAAAGTTTTTTAGATTTCCCCAAGCAAAATACACCCGGGTAAAAACTTACGGGTATATCACTCAAAAAATTAACTACTTTATTTTGGCCCAAGGGAAAGAAATAGATTTTTAATACCGCACCAAAATTTAATGAAAAAATTTGAGAAATATTAAATGAAAAAAAATTTTGCATTTTTTTGTCCCAATTTTCCGTATTTTCAACCGTAAAAATTTTTAAATTTTTCAACTTTGCAGTGGAAAAAACAATTATGTTTTCATATTAATCACTCCAAATCAATAATCATCTTTGAAAGAATTAGATTTTTGAGGTGAACATTAATTTGACATATCGTCCACCTTGGTGCAAGTAAAACAAGGGCCTAACTCCCTTTATATAAAATTTTTAAATAGGAGTAAACCCATTTACTTTTGCATTAAGGGTGACAAATACATTAAATTATAACCATTATTATATCCACTGTTATTACTTATTACCAGACTAGGTAACAAAGTTGATTCTGCCGGAAAACATGTTTGATGAGGGTGGGAGTCATTGGAAAAAAATAAACCTTGAAAATCTTGGTCAAACCACTAACAAGTTGACCCTTGTAAAATTGGTAAAAACAGTCAATTTTTAATTTCATTTTTCAAAAGTCAAATGTAATGTCGTTTTCTTTTTTAGAATTATTCAACCATTTTTGTTGTTTCCACTTCAAACCCCTGCTTTCTGATAAACTGTAGGTGGGTTTTTAAGTTTAGAGTTTTAGGAAAATTTTTATTGCGCTGGTTTTGTCCTATTGTTCCCATTAACATTGTTACTTACCATTTTGTTTTTTGTACCCCTTTTCTTTATTGACCTTTATATTAAAAGTGGAGCTGAAGGTTAAAATGGTGTCAAGGTCAACAGAGGACAAAAATATTTTTTTTTCCCCTTACTTTTCATCATTTTAAGCTGTGTCAAAGCAGGTCGGGGAGCACACAATTTGTTTCCAATCTCACTACCTCTTGATAGTGTGTTTTTTAAAAAATGACTATAAAATATTTTATGTTATCAAATTATAGTGCCTTCCTTTTCCAATAGGTTTGCCAGGTAATATCCCCCCATAACATGAAATTTTATTTATTTTTAAAACAAATTTAAAAAATTTCAATTCTAAATAAAATTCCAAAGTTGTAAGTTTTTCTGATTTTTTATAAAAGAATTTTTTCAAGGTAATATTTAAAAATTTAAAAGTTTTTCCCCTTGTTTTGGGGTTTCAGGAGAAAAAGTTTTCAGTAAATTTTAAAGGGGAGTGGAAATAAGATGGAGCTTTAAAAATTAATTTAAAGGGGGTGTCAAAGGTTTTTTTAGGCCCTTTTTAGATCAGGGTTAAAGAGAAGTTAAAGATTTCCCGGGGGGATTTTGAGAAAAAATGGGGGCTTTTAGGCAGGTCAGACCAAAAAAAAAGAAAGAGAAAGGCCCAGAGAGAGTCAGGAAAAACGAGAAGAAGGGTTTGTTCTCATACATGTTATATGTTTCAGCATGGTCATGGTTACTTCTCATTCTATGACTTTTGTCACCAGTCCTGTGTAGCTGACCTGGTATAATTGGATGACAAAGTGTTTTTTCCCATATCAAAGTTTGATTTTCGATGATAGGTGTCCTAAATTTGCCCATTTTGAAAAATAGAAATTCAAAACCCTAAAAGGAAAAAATTTCCAGTTGGCTTTGAAAGAAAATTGTAAATTTGTTTCCAAGGTGTAAGATTTTGAAAAAAACCTAAATGAACCTTGAGGTACATTCTTATGGTCTTTTTCTCCTGGAAAATTCTGTATTATTTCCCCCCTTGAATTTTGTTGAACAAACCCTTGTTACTGGAACTTGCAACTGCTTTTGATTTTTTGAACAGCAAAATAGCTGTGTCACAGCTTTGGTTGCCATTTTGATTAACCTTGTGTTCATAAAGTAAGTAGACTGAAATTTGATATGTATATGTGAATGCACCTTGATTAGTCCACATTTACAGGTAAAAAAGTCAAGGTCTCTGGTACCTGTAATAGTAAAACATAAAATTGGACATTAAAGCACACTGCAATTAGCACTAAGTAAGTGGAGTGCACTGTTTCCAGGACAGCTGTTGTTTTAATGGTATTTTTTTCCAAATTATGAAATATGAAGAGCATAAAGCTAAGCTGCAAATAGTAAAGGGCTGTTTTTGGACAGAAAAGATAAATTTAAATAATAAAAAGTGAATTTAAATCACGGGGCCTCCTTTTATATCTACCACATAGTATTTCGAGACCCGAGTGTGAGTAACAATATTCTGGAAAATTCTTTTAGAGCAATATAACAAAATTAAAAGAAAATTAAGATTATATTTAACAAAAATTGATGTAAGTCACAATGTAGAGGTTTTGGTGATTGTCCTGTGATTGAAGTTCGTATATTTTATCTAGTTATCTTGTATTGTTTTTACTGTATTGTTTTAGAGAGAGAAAGGAAGAAGAAGAGCGTAAGAAACTCGGAGAAGAGAAAGTTGAGGAAGACGATGAAGATGATGACATTGTTGGTGGCGGTAACCCATGGAAAACTCTCACTTCTGAAGAGTTGAAGAAAAAGGTATATATACTTGTGCAAGAAATTGTATTGGTAGCATGCCTCCAGATGAGCCAAAATATTTCAAGAAAATCAAACTGAATCTGAATCTGAATGTGTACACTGCAGAACCTTCCGGTATATACGCAGCGGGAGAGAGGAGCTAAGTAATTTAGTAGCACTGTTGGAGAGCTGTTTTAAAGCTCTGTACTGTATCTGCGCACACAACGGCACTATCTAAGTTATTCCAATCACTAATAGTCTTAGGAAAGAATGATTGTTCAAATTGGTCACTTTTTGAGATAATAGGTTTATAGCACTTATGATGGTTTATAGCTTGTTTTTCTACAATGTTTTTAGTTATGTAATTGTCTAGTTTCTTAGGTTTAATTAGGCGTTTACCACGAATAGGGGTCAGATAGGTATCGGTGGGCATGGCTGGCACCAGCCCCTCAGCCACCTTGAAGAAGAATGTCAATCGTGCCATTTTCCTTCTGTCTTGTAATGGAGATAGCTCAAGTTGCTTCAACATCCTGGTAACGCAGCCTTGATCTCTTGATTTGTAATCCCCAGAAATAAATCTAGCAGCCTTCCGTTGGATCGACTCAAGCTTGTCTATATCTTTCTGTAGGAATGGGTCCCATACAATTGAGCTGTATTCAAGAGTGGATCTAACAAGGGATAAGTAGGCTGTTTTCCTGCAGAGTAGTGGGCAGTGTTTAAGGTTTCTCTTGAGGAATCCGAGAGTAGAGCTGGCTTTGTTGGTAATCTTCGTGATGTGGGTACCAAACTTGAGAAAAATAAAAAGAGTTTTTAGAATAGTAAACAGATTCAAGTTAAAATTAATGATTTTAATTTTATGTCTGATAAATGATCCATTTTGCATATTTTTCACTATATTTGTACTGTGTTGGCATATTTTGACCTCTTTTTGGTAATTGGTTGTATTGTTAGTGCTGTTTGCAATGTGTAAATTTTTTCTTTGTTTACTTCACAATATTTTACTTTTTAATACAGTTTCAAAATTTTTGGAAATTAGCCTGCATCTGGAGGTGTGCTTCTTTAAAGATTAAGTGGCTATTTGACATGATCTGTCAAAGCGTCACATATTTTCAGTTTCACAGTAAGCTAGATTTATTAGTAGATTTCATGAAGATATCTGCAGTGATCTGATACAATCATTCATGAAAATTTGCATGAATAGGATTGGTTATGATTCACTTTTGTATTTTATTTTGTACTGATTTTAGCAATTGTTTTAGCTTCTGTTGTATTAATGGGAAACAAGACTATTTGGTCTTTCATATTAGTTGCTATTAAATGAAAAAAAATTAGTCTTGACATTAACTGGAAAAAAATATTTTACTTACTGACAAAATGCTAGGATTGTCAAGGCTATAACACTATTCTATGTTTTAATGGGTAAGGGTAGTTATTGCATGACAACATGGATTATGTGAGCATGTCTTGATTTTAGCTCAACTTTCTAGGAATAGTAGAGCTATCCAACTTATTTTAGAGGAACAATTGGTCATGGTTTTATATACAACTTTGTATTAATCATTAACCTGGAAAGATTCATGAGAATTTAAGATTCATTACTACAACACTTATTTTTACCAAATTATAGTTCTTGTGTGGACTGAAGAAAATTTTCCTGCATTATCCAAATTTCTGCATTATCTGTTTTACTATCAAGTATTGAGAATGTTCAGACGGGTGTCTGACTTGTGGCAGCCTTTGTTTATATCATGTTTTTATATACTTATTTACTTGTTTGATTTACAGATAGAAAAATATGAAAACAGTAAAAGAAAACACAAGCAACTTCCAGCTGTTGCAGACAATTAAACTATTTTGGTACTTTTGCACATTTTGGTTCATAAAACTGCTAACAGTTACGAAAGCACACCTTGTGTTAACTTTGAAAAAGTTTCACCAAAAACAACATATTGTCTAGATCGACTAAATAGTTTTTGTCAAATCTTTGGAATATAAACATTTTAAGAAGTTGTCAATTATCATAAAGGGAAATCTCTAGACAATTAGTTTGCACTTATATGAATCCAAAGTAATATTTCCGCTTAAATTTGTTTGGTGATTTATATCAGACATATACTTTAAATATTTAACTGCTTCCATCATTATCCTTAAACATCTGCAAAAATCCCTGTTAACCTTCAGCAGCTTCCAAAAAACCCTGTTTTCCTGAATCATTGGGGAAAATCCCTGTTTACCTGCAACATCTGGAAAAGTCCCTGTTTACCATCAACAGCTTGAAAAATCCCTGTTTACCTTCAAAATATTTACATCCTTCACTCATCCATGTTTTCAGCAGAAAATTAAAGGTTCTTCCTTCTTTCAGTAAATTAAAGGATTTGCCATTTAGAATGCATGCATGTTTATTTCAGTGAGTTAAAAGGTCCATGTTTCTATCTTAAAACGAAAATACCCATGTTTTCTGCAGCATCATTATTGAGTACATCAACACATTGATGTTTCTTTCAGCATTAACTTTTACCTCTCATCATTATAAAATAAGCCTTTTCTCTGATGTGAAGTTTTGTATATGATATAAGAGATGAAGATTTAATGTAGGCTATATCAGATATTCATTTAAAATATGTGGTTAGTTAAGGGCTGAGGTTGTTTATCAGATTTGAAAATTTTAACTGTTAGAAGTGTGTTCTAATTTTTTTGTTCATTCGTTTCCACACTAACTTCAATTATTTGCACAAGGAAAGTGTGATGTGTTTTCTTTTAATGTTATTGCCTGTTGAATATATAATTTGATTTCTTACATAAACTTTATTTTGATAGTTATTTGAAGTTTGAAAATTACTTTATGGTTTATTTGGCACAGCTTTTAATCACTAAAGATAAGCTTATAGATATATATTTGTTAGTAGAATTAATTGATTTTTGAAAGATAATTAGCAAGCTATATTAATTTTTAATTTATGTGTCTATTTTCCCAGGATGATCAGTATAAGCAAGCTAAAGCTAAAGAAAAAGAAAGACAAAGAAAACTAGATGAATTGGCAACTCAGGAAAAATCACATAATATTATATCAAATGAAAAGTCTGGCACACCAAGAAACTTTACAGCAGATGATGATGATGATATTAGAGCTCCTAGATCATCCAGATCACTGTTTGGTCTAGGCTGGATGAATGGAGCCCTATCAAATGGTACAGGGGAAGAGGGAAGTAACTCTAGTAGGCCTGGTAGACAGTTATTACCTCCCCTGGAAGGTGTTTCAAGTGGAAATAGTCCAAGGGGAAAGAAACCAAATAAAAAGCTTAAAAATAAAGTACAGTCTTATGATGGTCCTGGCTACAACAATGACAGAAATAATTATGTACATAATACATCATCAGTGTCCACAATTCATGTAGAATCTGTTCACCCTGATGATAGTGATGATGATGATGATGATTCTGCCCAACAGATTTCAGGGAGACCAGATTTTTTCAGGAACAGTAAAGGTCTGTATATAGATGACAGAAAAGTGAAACAGGGTTCACCAGATAGTGGTAGGAAAAAGAAGGGAAAGAAAAAGAAGCCTCAGTTATCGTCAGATGGTGAAGAAGGGTTTGATACATTACGACACAGTCAGCATTTAGATAATGACATTGACAGATATTCTAGTCACATGCATGATGCCAGAGATTCCCCTGATGGTAGAATGGCAAATGGTAAGTGGTGCCAATTAGAACAAACATGAACCATAATTGATGCAAGATTATATAACTTTTTATTTATTTGCACCAGAATTATAAAGACAGCTTAATACAATTACCTTTACTTATACTTTGTTTAGATAGTTATTTATATATTTAAATGGCCTTTATTGTTTTTGATTTTATTTAATGTTGATTTCTTTTTCTGTCGCCACCTAGTTATCAAAGCCTCTGACTATGAACCTCATTGTCCCTAACTGCTAAATGTTTGATTCCAAATTAGAATAATTTGTTATGATGAGTTTAGGACAATTAAAGGGTTTATACTGATGAAAGCTTTAAGGAGAAGGGGCTCTACATCCCAGTTCTTAAGGTTGTTGAGTTCAAACCACTTGCCCCTCACCGCAATGAGTTCGAATCATGTCAGAGACTTTTGGTTTCTTTCATGTGAAGAAGCTATACAGACAGCTTAAGGAAAGTTGTTGGGTCTACTCAGGTGCTTGCTTGTACCAACCAATTTATCAAGTTAAAGAAAAAGCATTGAAGTCATCTTAAATCAATAAAGAATAGGTGCTTTGTAAAATCCATGAAAATAAAATTATTTAGATTTCTTAAATTCATTTTGGGATGAGCCGAATTCATGAAAATACGTATATAAAAAATGTGCATTTATGTTTTCATAATTAGGCGATATTGAGGAAAGATCAAACACTCCAGTTAAAAAGCTGAAGAAAAAGAAGAAACATCTACGCAAAAATAAACTAGCGCCCTCTGATGATGAGTTTGAGCTATCAGATGTACAGACGACACCAAAGAAAGAACCTATACCATGGGTGAGAAGTCCGAGCCCTAGGAAAATGTTAGATGATGAAGACTCACATAGTAAGTTAAATATATTATCATGTGTTTATTCTTATAAGATTTAAATTATATCTTAATTAAGTTGCTGAATTTGTGAAATTGACTTGTGAAATTGCTTTTTAGAACTATCCATTGTAAGTACAAGTACTTCAATATTAAATCCTCTAAAGTTAAGCTACCAATACGGTCAAAGAGCTGACTGACCTGGCTATGTACAGATGACAACTGACAAACCTTTTGTGTTTAACAATCAGTGGGTAAATAGGCATTTAGCTGTCAGGAAAGTTTTATATGATTAAAAAGGTGTAACGGAAAATATATTTGCATTACAATTGCTCTTTGGTTTGATACATATTTATTATATGACATTATATAATTGTAGAAAAGTTTTAAAAAATGCTGAAATAGCATTTAAATGAAGTATTTATGTTGTAATATAAAAATGAGAAAGTGTGGTAATATAACATGACATAATGGAAGGTGTTATATAATATAAAGTCAATACATTTATATCATGAGATAGCTTACAGAAATATTTTTGTGTTATATAGTTGTCCCGTGAACATGGAAGTGATATCTATGTGAGGTATAAATATTAACAAGTTAACAATAGTACATGTTGTTTTACTTTTGTGAATGTTGATGAAGTTAATATAATTTGTCAAGAACTAGCTGGCTCCATTTCCAAAAAAGAAGACTTACACAATTTACATAAACTTACACAATTTACAAAACATAAGAAATAAATGACCTTGTTTTTAAAAGGTAAAGTATTAAATAAAATTTCAATAGATAAACATTAGATTCTATTAACATTTTTATAAAGGAAACCTTGGACAAAAGATTATGAAAGAATTTTTTTATCAGAACAGTTTTAACCCTTATCCCTAAATATCTAAAATGAACTTGCCCATCTTTCAATCTGGACAATACCATTTATCATTTTTAGGCAAAATTTCAAAATATGTACAGACTGAATAATGAACAGTGCAGACCATGATCAGAAATTAGGGTTGCACCATCTGATCTTGAGCTGCATAGGCCACATGGACAGAATCAGTAGTTCCTAAAAGGCTACAAGTTAAGATTTTAGATCTACGTAGGAAAAGGCAAACACTTCCTTGATTCGCCAACTAACAGATATCTTTCATAATATTTTTAGACAAGGTTTCCTAGCCTAGTTGTTTCATTATTTTTGATCTCTTCATTAATGTCTGCTGTATTAATAAAATGTTTAATGTTAAAAAAAACATTTGTTTGCTTTTTCTGTGAGGTTATGAAGACAATAGACGTCTATATGAAGATTAGATAATTGAATGCAAATCAATTGATCATAAACAGTCTACATGTTTGTAAAATAAGATCAAGATTAAAATGATAATAGACCTATATATAACTGAAAATTAAATATCAATTTATTTCGCAATCTTATATATAACTGAATGAAAGAGTTTATTTCTTATACATGTATTATCAAACAGGATTTTTTTCTTATTTGTATGTTGATTTAAATAATCCAATTACTGAGTGTATACTTGGTTTTTAAATTAACTAAGTTGAACTAGTGTATCTGTTAGACAGATTCTAATATGCTGCTGATTTGACATACTTTATGTTTGATTAGAATACAGTTTGATTAGAAAATGATACCTTTTTTACATAACTAAATATTTATAAACAAATCTACAGCTTTCTTTTTCTTTTGTTACATTATTAACTTACATATATTACTGAATAAAGTTCACATATAATATTGATGCAACTTTATTTGTTTATATGTCTTTTCTATATTTGCCATCAGAAAGTTTCATATATGCAGCAATATATAATATATATTACAATGTACACTGTATTTGTTAAAACATTTCAATAAACAATATATCTGTACATTGACTCCATTCTGTTGCTTAAAAACACAATATAACTTACATGTATCTTACCGGTAGATAGATTTTATGTTAATTGTTTAACTTCTGTATATGAGCAGCATCACGACAAAACCAACGTTATGCGTTTGCGACCAGCATGGATCCAGACCAGCCTGCACATCTGCGCAGTCTGATCAGGATCCATGCTGTTCACTTACAAACACTATTACAAGTAGAGAAACTGATAGCGAACAATTATTATATTTTATATTACAGCAAACTGGGGAATGGTAGAAGATCTTGCACCGGCAGATCAGGTTCAACAATTCGGCAGATCTCGACCAAACTTTGACAGCGAAGATGACCTCATTTTATGATAGCAAGATTAAATTGGCGCTCATTATATTTCTGTGATTACAGCTGCTCATACTTTCCTCCAGATACTCCCTGTGGATACTGTTACAACATTGTTTATTAACTCGTGAACAAAACTCATTGTAATACCAACCAATCTATAGACTGATGCCCTGAATCCAGGACCAAATATTGTTGTGCTTCAATTTTCCCATGGTTTTAGAACATAACTATATAGGAATATGGCTTTAATAGATTCATTGACCAGTGTTGCTTTTAAACAATTACTTGAGAACATATAATATTTTGTGTAAAGTTCAGACCATTAAGATATGATGTTATTGTTTTACCTGAGTATGCCAACCTGCTGTACAGTTTTCTTGAATGCATTTAGTTGATATATGATGTTACCATATTATTTATGAAAAATTGTTAATGTTTCTGTTAAGTCTTATATAACTCATGAAAAGAAATTTGGAAATATGTATCCTTTATGGTACATTTGTATAATGATTGTTATTATTATTATTCTCATTATTATTATTATTATTTTTATTATTATTATTATTAATATGAGCTCAATTAGACAGAGAATAGGTAGGGCTATCATACTCATCCTGGCATCAGTGTTGATGTAACACTTTATACAAGTTTTACCTGTAATGTCTTAGTAACCACTGGAAGAATTCACTTGAAACTTGAGACGTGTCATAAAGGACATAATTGTTGGACTGACCAAGACACATAAGTAACATGGTTTTTTGTGAATTATACCCTTTGGTGAATCAAGAAATTTCTGATTGAAGAAGCTCCATTATGGTAAAAAGTATTAAAACTTAAAAATTTGAGAAATACATCCTCTGGAGGCCTTAATATGGACAAATATGAAAAAGATAATTAAGAAATATACTCAAAAATAAATTTAAAATAAATTGATATTAATTGCAATTCTTAGCCAGATTTGAGTTAAAGTGTTTAAACGCCTTTTATATTAAGGTCATTTTGCACACACAACAAAAAAATATCTTAACAGATTGAGCAAATGATCTGAAATTTTGCATATAAGTATAGACTCTACATCAAAAAGTATGAAAATCTAAAAGAAACAATCACACACAAACATTCCCAGTCCTGTTATGTCAAAAAACCTCAGGTAGCATGCAAGTTTTATCTACAATTTTTAATGATTTCATTTCAATCTTCAAATTTCCCTGCCAGCTTTAGCAAGGATATCTTCTGCATCATTCTCCTCTGTGAACTAAGTATTGCCCCTGTTATATTATCAACCAATGAGAATAGTTAAAGGGATGACTGTACATATGCAATGTTCATTTTGTTTATTTATAATAAAGTGTAAAGTGTAACCATAAAATATGTGTATATTACATATATTTTTCGGAGCCAAGGCCTATAAGCGTTATTCTGAGGTTAGTGTTATAATGGGACATGTTATAACGGGGTGGCAGTGTATTTCTAAGGATTTGCTATCATTAAAGACATGTTAAACTAAAACATATAAAAGCATTCTGTGATATTACACTATATGTATATGTAATTGTGCTATCTATGCAAATATACTCGATGTAAAGTTTATATATGTATATGGTGTAATCACCTTACCTAGCTTACAGTTTATATAAATGTTTAGCACAAATAGATTGTGAATAGTTTCCAGTCCCAACTCTCTTATAGTTTAGTTACTGTTTACATTTATCTATTTCTTAATTTTTCTCTAAAATCATTTCCTTTGTAGTAAATCTAGTTCTAGTAATGAATTTTGAGAAATAAAATACATTTATATAAATCACTTTTATTAAAATGTTAGGGTTTGTTTTTTTTGTTTTTTTTTGGGGGGGGGGGGGGTTCAGTTGCTTTTTTGTGGGGGTGGGCCGGTTGTGAATGAACTAGAATAAATAAAGATTGGCTTGACTCTGCTAGTGTTTGTTTAAAGTTTCATTAAAGCATTAAAGTGGTAGTAGTTTTAATTTGATTTTTATTCTGTGTTTTCTGGGACATGATTTCCAGGAGAATCCTGCACACCCCTGGATGTTATATGAGCCGCACCATGACAAAACCAACATTATGCGTTTGCGACAAGCATGGATCCAGACCAGACTGCGCTGGTCTGGATCCATGCTGGTCGCAAATGCATTACGTTGGTTTTGTCATGGGGTGGCTCCGTTGGTTTTGTCATGGGGTGGCTCATATATCTGCCTCTTGCATGGCTAGATTAGATAATACTTTAATTGTTAGAGTCGTCAGCTTATGCTAGGTTCAAGATTTATGTTTGTATATAAATTTCATTTTAAATTATTATTATTATTATTATCATTATAATTTTATTGTAATTATTGAGATTAAAATAAACAAGAGATAATTGTAGAAGCTTGCTTTAATATTTGTATATTTTTAAGGAATTTACTTTAAAAAGGGATAAGTATTTGATGATGATCATATACCAAAAATTATTTCATAGTTTCAAGGAGCACGGAGGAAATAGGTATTATACAAATATTGATTTTTTAACTGGTGCATATGATGTGATATGTACTGGAAAAAAATATTGTCCAGGAAGATACATTACAAAGTAGATACATACCATTAGTGATAACTGATGATGTGTTACATTTTAATATACTATATCAAAAGGTGTGGTAAATATTTCATGATTTTTATTTATTTTTTTTCAAACTTAGACTTGAAAATATTTTATCAAATTACCAAACAGATATACTTGTATTTTTATCTAATTAAATGTCCTGTTTATATCTATTGCCCTGTGGGTAATAGAAATTACTGGAGTAAATATGTGCTAGTTTGTATACATATTAAGTTATGTGCACCATTAACAGTGTTATCATCATTGCGTGTGTGTGTAAGATATATATATATATATTTATCCTGAAGCAAATTGTTCTAAATTGCACAGTTAACATGATTATTTATCATACATACCTTTCTCCTTAACCATGTAAGTTATCATAAAAACAGTCTGAAATATGTTAATAGTTTTTGTTTATATTACAGACATGGTCATCATACGTATGCCATGTTTTACTACTGCAATTCATAGAATTTCATTTTTGATATGAATGTATTTTTCTCAGAGCAATGCTCCAAAATTGTAACAGTTGGCAAAGGTTATCTGTACATAAAGAATTTTCCAGGTGATAAATCATCTTAGCTTGTACATCATCAAATAACTGTAAATATTGCCTCAAGTTAATATGATATATTATTTACTAATATTTGTCTACTTTATTTGAAAATGTTTCAGTTAATTCTGTTTGTTTTTATAGCAAATGTTTCAGTTTTGTCATATTGCATGCAAGCTGTAAGATTATTTGTGAATTTTGTAAGATGATTGTTTTGTTATTTGATGAAGATTCAATCCATGAAACATGCATGAAAAGTTAATGTATCATAATCATATAATTTTCATTCATCATTTCACATTGTTAGAATCTTGTATACTGTATAATGTATCCTTGTATGTCATGTTGTTATAATATGTTATATTATATTTGCTATAAGTGCATTATTTATTGAATGTGAGAACCGTCCATTGTTGCCAACATATCATAGTAGATCTGTATTTAGAGATATCTAATTTATTATTATTCAGCAGTAATTTTATATAATAGGCTTGTCCTGCTTGGATTTATTTTGAATTATTTTAAAGGAACTTCACTGAGGTCAAAAAGTATAAAAAACATAAAATTTGTATTTATTACATTGATGGGCTGGGTCACTTAAAACAGAAAGATTTGCAAAATATTGTTAAAAAGTACACCCAGAAATATATTGCAATTCCTATTTATGAGTTATTCTTAGCCCAATTTGAGTGAAAAGCATTGCAACGCTTTTCCATTTAAGGTCATTTTTCACAGTGAGAATTAATATTCTGGAAAAACAGAAAGAACAAATGATCTGAAATTGTGCACACAAATAACTGGTCTAGACCTTCATCAAATGTAACGTAATTCTCGAAAAAATATTTCCAGTCTTGTCATGTCTGAAAACCTCAGTGGAGTTCCTTTAAGAGGTTCTAATATCAAAAAATCAGCCAGCAGTGTTATAGTCTGATCAGACAGTCTGTCTAGACTTTATACTGATGATATAGGCAAGTCATCATCTCCGTGTACAGTCAAACAGCTCACAGTATCAGCTTAGATCTATACTTAGTGAATATATACATGTAGTCTAATATAGAAATGGATTATGTAACTTACTATTTCTAATATTTACAGTAAAAGTTTAAAAAAAGAACATGATGTAGTGTCTTTTGCCTTTTTCAGAGACCTCTTTCAGATGTTTAAGGAGCATGTTTTAGCTCTTGCCCTGCAAAATATCTTAAATGATCCCTCTTGTATTTGGACTAAAACCATTCAATATTTTTTTGTGAAATTTTCCATTCAATATTTCTGTGGCCAAGTGATCAATACAATATAGAGGGCCAAGTGGTAAATACAATTTGGAAGGCCTCCATGGACAATACAATTTGGAGGGCCTATTGACCAAGTAGTCAATACAATTTGCAGGGCCTATGTGGCCAAGTGGTCAATACAATTTGAAGGGCCTATGTGGCCAAGTGGTCAATACAATTTGCAGGGCCTATGTGGCCAAGTGGTCAATACAATTTGCAGGGCCTATGTGGCCAAGTGGTCAATACAATTTGGAGGGCCTATGTGGCCAAGTGGTCAATACAATTTGCAGGGCCTATGTGGCCAAGTGGTCAATACAATTTGCAGGGCCTATGTGGCCAAGTGGTCAATACAATTTGCAGGGCCTATGTGGCCAAGTGGTCAATACAATTTGGAGGGCCTATGGGGCCAAGTGGTCAATACAATTTGCAGGGCCTATGTGGCCAAGTGGTCAATACAATATGGAGGGCCTCTGTTGCCAAGTGGTCAATACAATGTGGAGAGCCTCCGTGGCTAAGTTGTCAATACAATTTGGAGAGCCTCCGTGGCCAAGTGGTCAATACAATATGGAGGGCCTCTGTGGCCATGTGGTTAATAAAATTTGGAGGGCCTCCCTGGCCATGTGGTGAATACAATTTGGAGGGTCTTCCTGGCCAAGTGGTCAATACACCTCAGTGGCCAAGTGGTCAATACAATTTGGAGGACCACCCTGGACAAGTGGTCAATACAATTTGGAGGGAATTTGATGCCAATTGTTCAATACAATTTGGAGTGCCAAGTGGTCAAAGTTGCTATGTTTCAGATTATTGCTACTTGCATCTGTAGGTTAGAATTTGTCTTTAATGGTGTTTGGATTCTGTAATGCTGTCCAGATAGTTTTGCCTGAAATAATGCAGGGAGAAGCACCTGATATCTTCCTACATCAGTAAAGGTAGAGAGATGACATAACACCATTGCAATGCTGATGTGACTTAAAATACTAGTAGTTGAGAGTAAAAAAATCAATATTTGATTAACACAAAGATCATCTAATTCATGCCCAATGTTCATGAATACAATGCTTTAATAATCAATTTTGTTCTGAGAAAATTAAAAGTTTATTTCTCCCACATATTAAACTTTTATACAAAGCTGTTCCAATAATTTATTCATTACAATGAATGTGCAGCTAAAGCCACTTTGATACTTTGTTGAAAGCCAACAACCTTCAGATATATTGTGTAATGTTTAAGATTTTATTTATCATAATGAAGATGAGAGCATGTGGTTGTTGAGGCTTTTATCTTGTTTCTATACACCTAATAATGAAACAAACAAAAAATTGTGAAATAATTTTTTACATCTAAATGTCACTTAATGTAATGGTAACATTCTATTTGATAAGAAAAAAAGTCAACTGAAGACATGCGTGATATTTTCTAGTTTGTTTTAGTAGTAAAAAAAGAAGAAACAAAACAAACAGTTTATTTTTTTTTTAGGTTTGGTTTAACTTTATTAGTGTAATGTTAAATAAATGGTAAATTTCAGCCAGATGTTGTTAAAGCAGCATAAGCCAAAGATTCATGTAAATTTAAAAGAAATGTTTCAATAAGTGAAATGTTGTCAAGTTAATTAACAAAGTGATGTTATCTAGTTGAAGGAATGCACTATCCACAGGAATTAATTATAACAACCTTACTCAAAATATGTAGCCAATTTTCCTTTAACCCTTCCTTTTCTGAATATCTAAATGAACTTGTCCATCTTAAAAGTTGGACAAAAACATTCATGTTTTTAGGGAAAAATTCAAAATGTCTAACTATGTACTGACTTTATAGTGAACAGCACAAACTATGTTGGTCTGCACTGGTTGCATGGGTATATTCATTCACACCAACAGGCTTATGGTTTAACTACATGGTACATATGAAGTGATTAAAACAGCTTCACTTTTATGGTTTAACTACATGGTACATATGTAGTGATTAAAACAGCTTCACTTTTATGGTTTAACTACATGGTACATATGTAGTGATTAAAACAGCTTCACTTTTATGGTTTAACTACATGGTACATATGTAGTGATTAAAACAGCTTCACTTTTATGGTTTAACTACATGGTACATATGAAGTGATTAAAACAGCTTCACTTTTATGGTTTAACTACATGGTACATATGTAGTGATTAAAACAGCTTCACTTTTATGGTTTAACTACATGGTACATATGTAGTGATTAAAACAGCTTCACTTTTTTATCTGTTTAAATCAAACAATGTAGTGTTACTTGGATTGTGAATATTTATATATTTCATACTTGATTACATATTTTTCTATTAGTTTTATTTGCTCAACTATTTGAGGAATAAGGAGAGCTATTGTACTGACCCCCAGCATTGGCGTTGAACTTTCTAAATTAAGCAGATTCATGTTTTACTATCAAGCACTGAGAATAGTCAAGCACACTTTCCTGCTGACAGCTCTTTATACAATTTTATACTAATAAGGTGGTGCACAGGCTAGATGTGTATTTATTTTCAAAATTGTGTTGATTATAACATGCATGTTTATGCAGAATCATATCCATGTAGAAATGTACTTGTAATTATCCCAGGCATAAAAACTATTTTATAGAGGATGTGCAAAAGACTGTTTTCTGGTACTGTTATATGACAAAGGCTTACTAAGTAAATTCTGTAATGAGAATTTTACAAAGCCTTAATTTGTAAACTAAACAAGAACTTGCAAGTTTTTAGGTACACATTTTATATGAAATAGCCTTATCATTGTGATTAAGTTATTACATTGTACACAAAATTAGATGTAAAAAGGCTTAGCAGCAATGAAAGTGTGTCTTGTCATGCCTATAAAAGAAAATTTGGCTGTTTTATACTAGTAGTTTGCAAAACGAAAATAATTATTATCACAGATATATAAGGATGAAAATATGTATGGATGTATAAATGAATGAATTAGTTCAGATCATTTTAGAAAATGACAATATTTGGAGTTTTGGCTGATAAAAAATTGATAATTGTAACATATTCTGTTGAATGTACATTGAAAAGTTCTTAAGTAATGAAACAGAGAAATATCTCATTGTTCATTTTTAATAATGAACATATTTTAACTTGGTTAATCACACGTAATGAAAAAAAAACAAATTTCCAGCAGTTAATTTGACAAATTAACTTTGTTTACAGTGAAGTATAACAGCTGTGCCGAAATTCCCCTTGTTAACAATTTAGTCATTAATTTGCATTATTATCGCATAGCTTAAACTTTAATTGTTGCCGGTAATCTACTAAAACTAAGCCTAGTTTTGTTGGCTTGAAAGTTTTATATCGGTTTATAAAAAATTATTGTTATAGCTAATGTTGCTTTGCCAATTTATAATTGATTTTGTTGTAGTGTTTTTGCTGTTTTTGAAATTACAAACTTTTTTATATACCATATAGAGATGAACAATATCATCTTGCATCTTGCCTATTAGTTCTTAAAGAAAATATGAAAATCAACTTTTGTAATCCAAAAAAAAAATTGACCATAGATATTTTTTCTGAAGCATTTATGTTATAGATAATTTTACCTTTCTGAATAGTTGTCAGTAATTGTCTAGAGTGTATGAGTGACTATATGATTATAATTTATAATAATTTGATTTTTATGTCTTTTAATATAAGCCCTGGAGGGCCTTGCAAAACACCAATTTTTTGAGATCCAATTTTTCTTTTAAAGTAATGTTATGTTGTCAGTGCAAATCAAAAAGCGTATAGTAGATATATAAATGTAATTTAACATTGTCAGTCTGTCAGTACATTCTTTCAATTTTAGCTTGACTTTTTTGAAGAAAACCAAATATAAAATGGATCTGGATTTTTTAAAAAGGAAAGGGCTTATATTATGAGAAATACAGTATATTATATTGTACTTTGCATAACATTAAGTATACAAGTCTATATTTGTTTAAGTTATAGAAATCAGATTTTTCTTGATGTATTAATTGAATTTTGTTTTATACATTTCTTATTTATTTGTATTGAAAACAGAAAATTCACAATAAACTTGAAACAGACTGTGTGATATATTGTTTTCTCCATACACAAGGAATAAATAAACACTCTTGTATTGAAAAAAATATGAGGTAGATTATTGTAAATTGGACTTCATAAAATCATGTTTATTCACAGAATACTCAATATTAATTATACAGCAGGGGAGTATTTGTTTGGTAATTTATGATTTTACTTTGCATATATGCATTTGTAAAGTGAACATTGATTTATGATTTAGATAAATCTGTGCAAACTAAACTACCAAAAACTCCTTTTATCTTCACTGTGGTTGAAATACTGCAACATGTAGTAGGTAATTTTAATGTATTATACAACACATTAAATGGTATTTAAACATCTATTTTGCAATATTTAATCATGTGGAGTATTTAAGCATTGAATTTATTACTATTACTACCCCACAAAATGATCTGTGACATAAAGGAAATAAAATTCATGGCAGTAACTAATGCATGATTTTCTATTTTTTGCACAAATGAAATCATTGGCTTAGTTCATATGACATTTACAAATCATTGGCTTACTTATTTTTTTTTCTTTCAAAACTTTGTGTGTGTGGTATATGCTTGCTATGGATATTACCTTTAACACATGAGAATTCTAAACAAAAATCCTTATTTAGCTCTTAATGTAAGGTTATTAGTCAAAGGTAAAACCACACATTGAGTAATATTAGTGGCCTCTTAAAAAAATAAAACTTAAGGGTTGCACATATATGGGTATATTTGGGGCTAAACTTGTATGCCAAGTGATATTTTACTCCATGAAATGTTATTCAGATATATGTTTTATAAATGAACATGATGGTGCCTGTCTGAGGAAGTAATGCTGATGTCTAGATATCTGATAGATTTAAATGAGATTGTGTTTAAAGTTTATATCAACCTTCTCACTGACACTAGATATTTACAGTCATGTACTCCTTTAAATGAATGCTTAAATTGCACAATTACTTATCTGCTATCAATATGAATGAGTCATTGTGCATTCCCAAATTAGCAAAAACCTTTGTGCTGTACAAACAAAATGTATGCTCAATGTAGTTCAATAATTTCACAATATGACAACCTAACATGTTTAAAGAAATGTTGTCTAGCAGGTGATTCTAATGAAAGAAAATAATGATATTATATAAGCTCACAAACTGTTGTTGGGAAACTGTAATCTACATGAGGGAGTGCTCCCCTCTCACACCAGAATGTTGTTAGGGACAATGGTATTACAACCTAATACATTTATCTGTCACTATCAACCTAGGATATGTTAGTGGGTGGGGTGAACATACCAAATGTATCCAAATCCAGGTCTTACATTTCACAATCTTTGTGTCAACATCCATGTTTGTATATCAATTTATAAAATCTGGTAGTGTATTAAAATGCTACATAGATGTATGAATGATTATACATTTGGTTTGGTTTTAATATTTCATACATTTTAGGATGAACTACTATAATTGATGTTCAAGAATCATACAAAATGTTTGCTCTAGTAATCGGACAAGAGTCCCATATTTCATATACACACAATGTAAATCTATGCACGCAAAGCACTTGAGGGCTAATTTCACAGTTCAATGTAAGGGATAATTTCACAGTTCAATGTGAGGGATAATTCCACAGATGTTAACAGATGGTTACTATTGCCATATATATCATACACTTGAAGTACATGTAGCATCTCTAGGGTCACGGAAAAAATTGAAATAAACTGTTTGTCTGGCCAACAGAACACTTGTGGTTCCTTTTTTCTTGTATTGGCATAGCCAGTTGTTCTTTTAAGTTATAACACAAGTGAATAGTAAAAAAGAACTATTAGCCACAATTCTCAAAGTTAAACTAGATTTAACCATGTCCATTCTTTGGTCAATATGAAAGTGAGGGCACCACAGGGAACCAAGTAAGTCCATAAAACAAAAGAAAAATGTCTAAAGTTCAATTATATATGGTGAATTTATTCATATAGTTTTCTCTCTTGTGTTTGTATTTGATGCATTTTCAGTGAACTGGAAGCTTTAAGTTTGTGCCTTTAGTTCTGTTTCTCTACAATATTTTAGACTCTAGGTCAACATTTTTTTTATTTGAATATGAAAGAAACTCTGCAGTGTTTTGATAATAAATTGTATTTTATTGGTATAGTACATGTACAACAAAGCTGGCATGATAAATACAATATAGTCTAACCTGTCACATTGCATGTAATTTACATTTTATCTTTACATATCAATATCATACATAAAATACTGAGGTATATTATTATATACTTGTATACATGTCTGTTAAACTTGTTATCAAAATGCATAATATGTAATAACATGGTAGATGATTTTATAACAAATGAGAAGATGGGTTTGTGCAGCATTAAAATGTTAACTGATTTTACTGTCAATGAAGCAAAATCATACAAGTATGAATTATTTATATTATGTAAATTATTTTACATGTTTGTTCATCATGAAGTTCTTGATAAATATTCTGAATATATACACTCATTGTTTTGACTGGTATAATCTTTTTAAAAAAAAATTTCTTTATATGTCAAAGGATCTTACACTGGTAAAAATCAATCTAACACTTTAATTATAAATAATACAGTACTATATCTTATACAGACTGCCTATTAGGGACAGGCTTATGATATAATTTTGAAATTGTTCCCAAACATGCTTTGTCTGTAGTAGCTTTATTGTGTATTTTGTTGGATTGATTCTTTCTCAAAACTATATATAAACTTAAAATAGTAGAATCTTTCTAAAATAACTTTACAAATGTGATAAGTATGTAATAAACAATCTATTTATAGGTATCAGAAGTAGGCAGGTGAAACATTTTCTTTATCATCTTCCTTGTTCATAGATACAACAACATGTTCAATGTCTAAATCTTTGTCTGTCACCTGAATACCAATACTAACACAAGGAATATTGTTTGCTGTAAAACCAAAGTCCTTCTCTTTGTCCAGAGGCATGTAAATATCTGGTACCTGCACACCTACATCTTTTAAAACTATTACACTCCCTTCTTTATTTGTCTTTATAACTGTCTGTTGAATGTCAGTGTCAGCATCTCTTGTTGCTGGACTACTATCTGGTAATATCATTAAACTTCCTTCTACTTTTTTGACAGATTGTTTTACCATCTCCTCAATATCTGGTTTACCAGTTTCACTTTCTTGTTTTACAAAGTCAGTTTTGTCAATAACAAGTTCTTCAACAACAACCTCTTCGACATTATCACTGACATCTACCTTTTTCTCTTGTATGGTTATATCAGCACTTTCAATAACAACAGCACTTTCAGTAATTCCAATTTCTTTTACACTGTCTTCCAAATCCACAGGTTTTATTTTAATCTCATTTTTCTCATCAACTTGCTCTTTTGAAGTTTCATTAGCACCAATATTGTCTACAATTTCCTGTATTTCAACATAAGCATCATTTTCATCTTCGTTTCCACAGTCTGTTTTGGTTTCTATCTTACCTGCTAGTTTTGCTGTAAATTCTTCATCAGAATAAATCATGTTTGAAAAAGCTGTGCCACGAGATTTCAAATCTGTTTCTTCCTCTTTTAAAGTTTCTTTATCAGTATTTTCAAACTTTAATTTTTCATTTGTTTCTGTAACATCTGATTGGCTATCAGTTTCATTTATTTCAGCATTTAAAACTTTGGCAGTATCAAGTTTCAGCATTTGCTCAGGGACACAAGATTGGAATGTTTGCTTGGTTTCATCAATATTTTCATGAACTTCCTTTACCTTTGTCTTAACTACCTGTGCATATTCAACATCATCTGCTACAATGTCATTATTTTCATTGCTCTTTGGAGCATTATGAACTGTTTGTAATTTTGTACTTACAATGTTTACATATTCACCTTCCACATGTTCTTGGCTTGAAGACTCTTTCAATTTTGATTCTATATTTTCAGATAACTCTGCGTGTGTTACATGTATTTTGTCTTCAACTGAATCAGATTTTTCTAGTTTTGAAGTATCAGTTTTCTGATTTACAGCAGTGTCTATGGTGGGAAGTTCAAGTGATTTTTGTTTTGCAATTTTTTCAGTTTTATTTACAACAGCAGACTTGATTTTGTCAATAATTGTGGTGTCTTCTTTCATTTTGCTACCTTTCTTTTCATCACCTTTCCCACCAGCAGGATTTGTTGAAACTTCTGCCTCTTCATCTACAAAGTGGCATTAATGATTAATTATAATTTTATTGTATTAAATCTTATTATAGTATAATACATAAAGAGGTTTTCTTATTGACTTACACTGAACAATATTTGAAATTATGATTTATTATTTTATTTCTTAAGGAGTTGCATATACATCAGTAGTAACAGATAAATGATAAAAATCACAGATTTTTTTTTATTGGTTTGCCATTATAACTCTTGTTAGAAAACTTTGGATAAAAACTTAGGACTTTGAATAACTTGCTTCACATTGTAGTGTTGTATCGGATTTGATTTTTTTACAATATCTATTTTTGTTTGAGAATGGTCTGAGATGATGTAATTATATATTATCAAAGCTGTATAAGATATAATATCAAACCTTGTGATAGGTCTGACAGGGACACACCCTCAAAAACATCAGTCTGAGTAAAGTTAAGGTCCTCTTCTACTATACCTGAAATTACAAAAAGTATTTTAATTTCATTTAGCCCTAATTTCATTTAGCCCCTATATTATAACTATAATTCTGTCTACCTTATAAAACAACAAGCATGCTATTATTCAAATTATTCATTGCCTTAATAACCATCATCTAAACAACCTTATTTGGCTTCACTCATTTTGTAGATTATAGAGCAGAACAGAAATACAAATTGCTGAGCAATTTTTATAATAGCATTAAAAATGTTAACAAATAATTATCACAGATATTACAAAGACAAAAAGGAAACATGTAAAAACAGCAAAATCATAGTGAGATGTTCAGGGTTTTTTTTTAATGATGTTACATTAATGATTTTACATCGGGTTGTTGCTGTGCTATATTGAATTACAGGATAAAATTATTTTTAATTCCATATGATTGAAAATATGCTGGTTATGTTATTAAAGACTTTAATTCAGGTATTTTTTTATACATCAAAATATGATTTTGAAAAAAGAGAAATATATACTTGCATAATACATAAACTTCAAAACTGATGCTTTATTATTCTAATTTGGCATGTTTTGGTTGTTTTTTTTTTACAAAAACAACTTTAAAAAACAAAAACAAAACAAAAACAGCAATCCATTAAAAAATATGAATGAGCGTCAGTAAATATCTTAAAGCAGACTGTAATCTAAAATAGAAATTATCCAGACAGTCATTTAAGTTTTCTCTCCAAACATAATTTACATATTTTAAGGGGAAAACAGATCCATTTTTATTACAGTAATTTACAAATCGTATCTTATTTGACATTCTATAATCTCCAGGGAGATTATGTGATGTAACACTGCCTGTAATGTGCATGATAGTATGTAATTGTTTTGTTTATATACGTTTATCTTGGTACAAAAAACACTGCATGTTTTATGACAAAATTTGAGAAGAATAAAGATCATTGAAACTAGCTATCAGGAAGTCTTACACATAAGGTTCATACATTCAAACATTTTAAGTTTCTATTACAAGGCATTTACATTGCTTTGATTGAACATTTTAATTTTTTGATTGTTCAACAGCTACAAACATATATTGCTATCCTTATTAATAAAGCATATTTCGTTATAAAAAAATATTTTTGCTGAATTACTGAAGAAAAAAAGGAAGATTCTTCCATCATCTGCCTCTAATATCTATAGGGATATTTGGGAATGAAAATTTAGTGTTGGTCAATTTAGCTTCCAGTATTGTTAGAGTTATATTTAAAGGCACATTGAGCTCAGGAATGACTACAATTTTTCCCTTCAAGAAAAATGCAAAAACATGTTAATATTATAATAATTGATTTAGAGAATGTTAGGTGCTAATCACATGAAAAAATCAGCCCTGAATTTAAAATAATTTGTGATAAAAGTAGCAAAATGTAAACAAAATTGTATTTGGACTTCCTAGTCAAAATATATTGACGTTCCAAAGCTTGATTCTGAGATATTTTAGAGGCAAGATATTGCCCAGACACGAAAATAGCACAATATCTTGTCGCGCAGTACAATTAGTTGGACTATTGGACTTCCATACAAAATACTATATTGCTATAACATAAGTAATGGCTAAAATGTAAATGAAACAAAATATGGTTTATCTATTATGACTTGTAGCACCATTTTGGAAACATTTAGGTAACACTTAAAAATGAAAAATAGCACTTTTGGTATTTAATGTGTTTTAAATTCATTTGTACAAATAAACTGAACACTTCTATTGTTATTTATAATTATATATCATGCCAGTTAAGTAAACAACTTTAAATCTAGAAAATTACATAGCCTTGAAGTGCACTAGTTGAATTTCATTTACATAGGATTACTGTCTCACAAAGTTATAAAAAAAACTCATTCCACATTAAATTATCTACAAAAATGTAATATAAGAGAAAACAACTATATATACACTGCAAAACCAGGTCAAAGTAAATATTTTCAACAAAATAAGACTAATTTTGAATGATTTGAAGGAACATTTATGTTATTATTGTCAGTCAATTTACCTTTAAATTATGATATTTATGAGGCATTTTAAATGAAAAGGCCGACAGTTTTTATAAGTTTAACCTATTACAGTAATTGCTTTCATTTTAACCTTAGCCTTTCATTTAATTGCTCAATTACATTTTCTACTTTAATTGACATTTTCTCATCTTTATATACATATATTGAATTCTTTCAGCTCAAAATATTTCACTATATCAATCATAAAATCATCCTCATAATGTGTGAATCAGTTAAATATTATTTACATACTTGTGTTAATAAACTCATTTATTTCTTCAAATGACATGTTACACCTGTGAATATATTTCACATAAATTATACATGTACCTATGGTAGAGAAATGATATATTGTGGTTTTTATATAATTTTTCATATAAGCATTCATATATCATTAAAATTAGCTTAAATAAAGTAAAACTTGTCCTGTAAAATCATGCTTTAAAATTTGATAAAACTCTCCTCTCAAGATATAATCAAATTTATCCATTAATCTAATTGTATCCAAAGTTACAGATATATTTCAATTATAATGAATCAGTTGACTGCATATAGCACAGGTGTTATTGGTTGAAAGTGCATTTTTAGCGCTGCTCTTTCAAGTACAGTACACATTTCACTTTGATCAAATTTGTATTATTAAAATAAGTACTCTGGTACTTTACAGAATATCTAATTCCTTTATTAAATTATATTCTACTTAATAATATTTGTAACAGTTTTGCATTTTACATTTTTATAGCAGTTTACCCTTTTTAAACTATTCAAAATCTATGAATAAAATGCTATAAATGTTTGAACTGAATTAATTCTAATTAATTCATCTTGGCTATTTAACATCATTAGCATGCTTGTATGATGAGCAAGGAAATGGTAATATATTTACTAAATGCCAGCGTTGACATTGAACCTTGAAGAAGGTTGATGGATTAATCCATACCTCATTAACTGACTTTATGACATGCACATTAACTTGCCATACATCTTAAAATTATATGACAGCCATGAGATGTTATTCTCATACAAACATAGATATTAGACCCTACAAGATGATATTATATTATTGTACTAGATTTTATGTTTTAATTATCAGAAACAAAAAATACTACAAATAGATCATACTGTACTTTATTCTTTTTTTGATTCAGACAAACAAAATTCCACTGCTAGATCTATTTTATACAAGTCGTGCCACAAATTGTCCATTTCTATTTTACTTTTTGAGTATATTTTATTTATTATGATCACATTATAGATGCTTACTATAACATGCCATAACCTAAATGGTGCAAAAGATAATTGCTAAGGAAAAGAAACTTACTTCTTCTATTTCTTGGTGCCAGTGATTCTCCTTGACCAATCTCTATCATAGAGATACTCCTCTGATCTAATGAGCTACTGTTCTTCTTTGGTGACCTTTTCTTCTCTTTCTTTGCTTTAATTTTCTTCAGTTTGGTTTTCTTCTTGTCATCAGAGTGCTTCCTCATCACTACCTCATGCCCGTCTTCTGGTATTCCAGCTTTGTGGAGATTTGGAGTGGAAGATGAAACATCATCACTTCCTTTACGAAAAGAAAATTTTCCAAATTTCCACCTGGATTTCTTAGGTTCTACTGTATTGGAGGCATTTGGGTCCATGGAAACAACACTGTGAGATTCCATATCATCTGATGGTTTCTTTTTTCCTCCTAACTGAAAAGACCAACTCTTTTTCTTCAGTTTGGATTTGTCTGGTGCCAACATGTCTGATCTTCTAATTATAGATCCAGAGCTTGTGCCTGAATCATTGGATACTGTGGACTGTTGTTCATCATCTAATACATGTTTTTCTTCTGATTTATTTACCATAGCACTGGTGCTCACTGGAGATAATGTTTCTGACACAATAGCTTCACTTGGCCCATCCAAACCATCAACATCCACTGCTCGTTCATTGATATAAACAAAGTCTTCATCAGTCTTGTCACCATTTATATAGACTTCTTCAGTTTGTTTACTTTTAGTGTCTACTTTAATGTTAGCTACAGTTTCAACCTCCTTTTCCTGTGTTACTATGTTCTCACTATCATCCGCTTTAGATTGTGGGGTTGTAATGTCATTTGTTTTAATTAAATCCTTTATTTTTTTCTTTGTCTTCTGAACAACGGCATATTCCACACTTCCATTGTTTGCATTATCAGAACATTTGTCAACTACGATTCCGCTATCAAGAGAATTTAATCTTCTTATTTCATGGTTCCTTTTATTAGACTGTTCAGTATTCCCTTGATCAGACTCGTCAGACTTCACTGGCTGTGCATTACTTTCTTGAGAAATTTCTTCAACAATTTCATCTCTCACTGGTGTTTTAATATCCGCAGAGACGTTTGCATCAGCTCGTGGTTTTCTTTTGCTAAATTTAAACATTTTGGCAATGAAACTATCTTTAGAACGTTTTGATTCAAAAGTTTGGTTTTCTTCTTTTTCCAAAGTATTCTCGTTTTGAAAATGTTCTTTTACAGATTCGATAACTTCACGTTGGAAGATATTTTCTGTGGACTTTGATTTTTTATTTTGTTTTTTACTGATCTTTTCTTTATTTCGTTTCTCAAAAATATCTTCATTAGACCCAGTCAGTATACCACATTTTAGCGCGTAACTGGTGTCCACTTCACTTCTTTTCACTGTTTCAGCTATTTCACTTTTCACCTTAGCTCTTTTCACTTCAGATTGTTCTACTTCATTTTTGTCTACGTCAATATTGCTGTATGTATTTTCACTGGAAGGACCAGGTAAAACTTGATTAAGATGGAGAACAGACGCTGACTTTGCTTGATCTACTATGTGCACTTCTTGCAATGCTTCTTCTGTGCGGATTTCGTCTATATCAGTGACCTGTTCCCCTTTGCTTGTTCGGCTTATTGATCTCTGGACCGCCCTGTCAGCTGCTTCACTTATCAGCGCTTTACATTCCTCGATTAAAGAGTATTCACTGTCACCGGAAGCATCTTGTTTCTTTTCTTTTTCAGAATTGTGGTCTGCTTTTAACTCAGTCACACTTTCAACTTCTCCTACAAAGATTAACAATTTGAAATTGAAAGCTATTTAAGAACTTAAATGCTTGTTTGGTAAAGTAGGTTGCACAGTGTAATTTCCATATATATTTTATCAATCTTGCTCGCGTGTAATAGGCGTTTTAATGTAATTGAGTTTTTTTTTTTCTTTTTAATTTTCATTCATCAAATGGTATGGTCGGATAATATTTTCCTTAAACTGTCATATTTTATCCTGTATCACTAATTTAACATCACAAACTTCCTTTATGTGTAAACTATGTATAAAACGATTTATCATAATTCGTTCTTAATTGTACGAATTGTTTACTTAGATATAACGAAATCTAATAATGTAATTCATACTCTGTCTTTATTAATATTCTTGGCTAACCATGGGCATAAGAAATAGATTAGTTGGGTGTCTTTCTCTAACAAACGATGCATCATACATTACTTACTGTCGTACATAAATAACTCAAAACTATCAGAATGAATTATGCAAGATGTATAAAGTCTATATAAGTGACATATTAAACGTATTAGTATTATACCAATTAACACTTTAACGTCGAAATTGTTTACATACTCTTATAGCTCCAGGAAACCTAAATTTTATGCTTACATTCAGCCTTTTATTTTGTTTGAGATGTTACGATTATTTCACAATTCACTTCAGATTTCGTGATTTTATATCAATTAAAGTTTGTTAATGGCGTTTTATCATTATAGGAAATTAATGAAAAATTCACGCGAAGTTAAATTTCAATCGAAATTGTTTGATTTTTTTTACATAAAAACAACAACAAAAACACAGCAACAGAGTAAAATCTATTTGCCCGTCTTTCTTTCCATTTCAGTGAATTTTCAAAATTATGTAAAATAAGAATGCATAAGAATGTATCGTTATATAGAAAACTTATAAATCCTTTAAAAAGAAGAAAACTTAATTTATATCTTTTAACTAAATCGCAAACACGGCATTAATATCCATTCATGTGTACAAAATACAGTTTTGAATATCTTAAAATTTGTAAATAGATAGAAATATGATATGTATGTTTAACTGATAACAAGTTTATTATTACAGAATATAAAGTGGAAGTTGATGTATTTGTTCGCTCACTGATTCTTACAGGCTTGTTCAGCTTATACGATACGACGGCAAATATAACAAATGTGTTAATGACAACAATTTGCTATAGTAAACTGGGCACCTGTTTAATTAATGTAAAATGAGCGGTATCACGACAAAACCAACATAATGGGTTTGCGACCAGCATGGATCCAGACCAGCCTGCGCATCCGCGCAGTCTGATCAGGATCCATGCTGTTCGCTTACCAAGTAGAGTAACTGATAGCGAACAGCATGGATCCTGATCAGACTGCGCGAATGCGCAGACTGGTCTGGATCCATGCTGGTCGCAAACGCACTATGTTGGTTTTGTCGTGACGCGGCTCAAATAATGTACTTACGTTTATTAAGAGTTTCTTGTTGATGTATATCGTCAGTCACAACTGGTTCCCTTAGGTCTGGCACGGCATAATCTGACTCGACCAGCACCCTGTGAAACTGGCCAACCTTACCACCGCCCCCAACACTTTGTTTTACCCCCGTGCTATGGGACACCTCTGTAAACAGATATACTAATTATATCCCGTGAAACGCCACTTATATATGTATATACATGGAAAATAAATCCTCAATGTAAAGATTTGATCATAAACGTTAATATCGATCATAAAGTTGATATTAAGACAATTTTTTACACTAGAGACATGTTAGATTCTACATTCCAATATTGTCAACAATCTTATCTCTCTTTAATAAATTTTATCCATCTAAAAATATATCACTAATCCCAGCTTGCCCGCACACCTAAACTGATAATACTCTAGTTTCACTTTAAAATGACAAGGTTTATAAACGTATTTCTTTATTTTTCTGTATGCCAGCTGGCATCAGCAGCACCTTATGCTCTCAAGCTTGCCAGCTGTAGAAAACTTTGTTAATGTGACACTTTATCCCTACCATTTAAAACTATATAGCCAGCTCAATTCAAATCCTCTTTTCAATTATAAATCAATAATTTAAACGCAGATTGTTACAAACATAAAATGTGCAATGAAAACGTGAAAATTTGCCTTCAAAGAAAAAAAAATTCACTTTTAGTTCCGCAACGTATAATCCCGCATAGTTCTGTCCTCTGGGTGAATAAATATTTTAACTATACTAAACAATTTGTCACGCACATTGGAGGTACGACATACTGACGCAAAATTTGTTTTACGTGTCGTGAATTAATTTTGCAATAAAAGCGTCCACCTCGCGAAATAATTCTGCAATTAAATTTGAGGAAGTGATACATGAGTAAATAACGCCGAGTCACACTCATTTTCGATCAAATACTGTGACCCAGTTCCAGGGCTCGTGCTGAACAAATAATTTTAAAATTCCACTCTATTGAATGTTTCACTCGCATTTGAACGTTTATTAAAATATATCAGAACACTGGCTATTAATGGCAAATATATTACAGTGCAATCTATGACAGTCGCCGAATTCGTCCTTCATGTTTAATCAAATTTAAGATATGTACTACGAAATAACCTGGGTTTAATTTCATTCGATTATTTAAAACATATAGTAAATAAAACTATATTGTCAAAGTTTGATTTGAAGGTCGTAAATCTATATAATCATCACTATATATAGCGCAATTCTACTTTTATTTTTTTTAGTTGGCTCAGGAATATAATTCAGGTGAGGATTTACTGTTGTACAACAGAACCGCCTCATATACCGTATGCAGTCAGAACGCGTTAACTTGATTGTCAGAACGCACGTTGTACCATATACAGTCAGAACACATTTTGAACTGTATGCAGTCAAAAAGCGTGTTGTACCGTAAACAATCAAAACGCGTGTTGTACTGTATGCAGTCAAAACGCGTGTTGTACCGTATACAGACAGAATGCGTGCTGTACTCTATGCAGTCAAAATGCGTGTTGTACCGTATACAGACAGAATGCGTGCTGTACTCTATGCAGTCAAAATGCGTGTTGTACCGTATACAGACAGAACGCACGTTGTACCGTATGCAGTCAGAACGCGCGTATCATGATTACTGTATTTTCATAAATAACGTTTAGTTTGAGCCCGTCAATATTACATTAATTTTGTTTAGTGTAAGTTGTACAGGTTATATGCTCTTTGATCTCGCCGGTGATTTATGTTGTCTGACCGGTATAGATCAAATAACGTCGCATTCTCCTCACGATCTAACACAGCGTGATAACGAAATGTTCGTGCATACTATAAACCATTCCAATAATGCAAAGCATACAACTTTAGCACTATAAACATTCTGAAATAAAACTTACTAGCATATGTACTTGATATATAAACTAATAGTTGACACGAGACAATGAAAGAAAAAGTTATTTCAGCAAGAGATGATAGCTGAATTTGTGTGGTCTAATAATCAATGATGATGTAAATTATCTTAAATTTGCTTGACGCGGCAATTTAACGTGAAGTTCCTTCTCGTTCACGTTGTCCTGCGGGTTATACAACGTTATAAATATTAAATAGACTATAGTTATTTTTTTAGTATCTTATTAATTAAATAAAGTGAATTAGAAGTCTAATGTTGGTTAAATCTTACATACCGTTACCCATGGCCAATACTGGGTCCCTATTGTTATTGTCTGTTATATCCTGTATATAAGATAAAAATATTAAACATTAAATACAAATATGAAATGAAAACATGCAAAGGCTCACAAGAGATCCCCAATATGTATTTCTGGCACTTAATTAGCTATTGTATTATTGTATGAACTAAAATCCGGAAAAAAAAGATATTCATATTAACAGAAGTAACATAATAACCATTTTGTTAATTATACTTATTCGTCCGTCCGTTTGTTTGTCCTTTACAAACAACGAAAACGTAGATACATAGATGTAATTGAGAGTATTACCTTATCAGAAGGAAATGGTAGAATATGATATAAATATTCAAACAATATTTATGTTAAAAAAACTATTCCTTTCTCTCTATAAATCAAAGTAACTGATTTTAATAGTACTTCACTAAGAAAATGTGTAAAGTCAATAAACTTTTGTATTTGTAATAAAAGGTCAAATTGAAAGAAAATGTTAATTATTTTTAAATTTATTTCTTATACATGTAATATTTGATCTACATTTTAAGTTAAGTTACAATACCTTTTAAAAGTGTAAATAATTAAATTCCTTTCAACACTAAAACCATAGAGATGATGTTCGAAGTCTATCCTAATCTATTACCAATAAGTGTAAACAATTTTCATATACAAAAAAAAATCAATTGATTATTTGATTGGTTAAAAGTGACATTTGACCTCGGTGAAACTCCGCCGATTTACTGGGGGTTGGGTCACGGCGTGACCCACGGCACTGAAACTGTCAAGATATATTACAAATCATCATAACTTGTCACTTAGTAATACACGGACATTGGTAGAGTGTTACTAATAACCTGTCAATATACGTAGGAATGTTGTAATTCACATGCGTTAATAAATGCACGACAACATTAAACATAGCAGGCATATTGTTACCCGTGCTATATTAAGTCGCATCGCACCATTTACCCGTGCTATATTTCCTAATTAAATATAGCCAATGCACTTTCAGCATTTTCCCCTGTGATTTCCGAAAAGAAACCAATATTGGATCCAATCTAATCAATTTAGCCTCGTTTTTATTTCCAGAGTCCAAAATTCCATATCAAATCCATATCACATCTCATACAGTCTCGTTTTCATTTTCCAGAGTCCAAATGGTTTCATTTTTGAGAGTCCAAAATCCATATCAAATCTTTATTGTTATTGAAGAACAAAATTCTGTCAAAATGACAGAAAATGGTGTTGGGAAATAAAGAGGCCATTAAACATAGTTGAGAACAAAACTGATTCTATTGGACTTTACAGCAACATCTATATCAACACTCCTAAGGCAGCTGTTCCTTTCATTTTTTTTTTCTTCCACCCCATATAGGGGTTGTTTTTTGGACAGTTGATGTACCAGTCCAAGTAGAATATAGCTATTGTACCAGCATATTCTCATAATATCGTACAATTTACCCGTGCAATATTTAGTGGTACGTATTATTTCCCCGTACTATATTTAGTGACATTGTATGATTTATCCGTGCTTTTACTAGTCGCATTGTATGATTTACCTGTGCTATATATTAGTCGTGTCGTATAATATTCCCGCGCTATATTAGCTGTATCGTTTCATTTATATGTGCTATATTCGGTCGTATCGTATCATTAACACATATTACATGTATATTAAGTCATATCGTAGCAAGGACTGATTATATCCCGCAACAGTACTTTGTAATTAAAGTTAATATTTAAATTGGTATTTTTCTTTAATACTAGATCTAGTTTTTAACTGCAAATGGCATTGCTTCAAGTTAGACATGTTTGAGATTTTAACTTTTTTTCTCAGTTTTAAAATTTCTAAAAGGGGAGATTTTAAATTGGTGAAAAAATTCTGCGGGGAACGGGAGAAAAACGTGTGCATTTTTATTTCATTTTTGGGTTTTTAAATATGCGGTGAAACTTTTTTATTGGCTTTTGCAAACAAATTGTTTTGGGAATATATTTGATTTTTGGTCCTTTCCAAAACCCAACCAGGGGAAATTTTTCTATTAAATTTACGGGGAATTTTGTTTTTCCCTTTTAACACCACGCCCTGCATAATCAAAATATCCCAACACAGCAGTTAACCCTCCTTAATAAAAGTAATAAAAAGCCAGAATTACATCTGATGATCGAAAATTAAAAGTCTTTCCCTGTTTCCCTGAAAAATTTTCTTTTTTTTGAAAAACCCCCCAAAAATTCCACGTCTAAAAAATTTAAAAAATAGTGTTTTAAGGGGGCCAAACCAATATTTACATTTTGAAAATTGAAAAAAGACTATGTTGGTTAAAACTGGGAATTATAAGATTGTCTGGTGTAAAAATGTCGGTTATTAGAAAGAACCTTACAAAAAGTAAACTAAGGCGACGATCTACGAAAACCATCAATTTATTTAGCAGTATTCTTGTTTTAAAAAATAACAAACAAACTTTTAACTGAACTTTGCATGAAACAATGTCTCTTAATGATTTGATGTCGAGATCAAAATTAGATTTTATATCAATTATAATTATAAAGTCTTTAGCATTTTGAATATCATCAGGAAATCATGAAATTATTATGTACATGTATGGCACGTAAAGTTTATTTCCGATTGTGCCACCAAGGTAGGCATGAAATGACGATAGCTGGGATGATTGGTGTGGGGGGAAAATAGGGGAGAAAATGGCGTGTCTTAATCTATGACGTGATATAAGTTAAGGAAGAAAGGTTGATATCCAATTATTTTCTACATCACTGAATGTGTATTAACTTCATTGCTATGTGCATGCCAGATTTCAAAGAAACACTTTACTTTTTTTCACATTTTATAATCTTGTATATCACGATATCTAATGTTTAAACCACAACAAATTGCGCCCTTGTGGTTTAATCCAGACAAATTTATCGTAGGAGATATGCTCCAAAAGAACCAACAAATAAAATTACTGAAAATTCTGCAATAATGTATGAAGTACGCATATTGAGAATTTAAACATGTATTATTGTAGTATTTATTAAATAATAAATTCCATTTCAAAGTTCAAACATGCATGAATTTGTTGAAGTGTTACTGTATACAAATATGAAATACCATGAACAAAGTGCACAGTACGTGTTTATATATTTTACGATCAGAAAATGATACATTGTCATAACAAGACTGTATAATGACATTTAAACAAATTAGACGAGAGAAATGTAGAATATACAGAATTACTACAATACATTCATAAATAAATATAATAATTCATACATACCATTTCTTTATTTGCATCTGTTATAATCCGTTGTAGAAGTAAATGATGATAATGTTACGTTGTTAGACTGCGAGCTATATTGACCAAATGTGTCTCGAGGTGAAAAAAGCAATAAATTCATGCCAATCTTTCTGCTCAATATCATCTTACTCAACTGAAAAATGTAATTACAACCTCAACTAGCTTCAAAATTCTTAATCAAATTTATCGAACAGGCAAGCTCAATTTGTTACAATCATACCGGAACCGTGAACACCGAACCTTCCAATACACGTCTATAATTTCCATATAATATTTGCAGGTTTCTTTCATTTTACAGTTTACGTTTTCTACTTTTGTAAGTTTCTTGCTCTTACTAACGATGTTTCCAAAGGAGGACACAACTTTTTTGCAGAAAGGTACCGATACTTGAAATGAAAAAAAAAATCTTTACGAAAGAATCCGGGTGGCATTTTATAAACAAGACCGCATTTCAGTGAAATGCAATACCGCTGCATTGCATAGAACCTGACTGATATCTCAATTCATTGAACATGTAAAATAATTTATACAATCTAAACAATCAATTTCAAAACTGAGTAATCTCAGAAAAGAGTGTTTAAAATGTATTTTTTAATTTTTTAAATATATAAGGAGGTAGGGCCAATTTTGACCCCATGGCCAGCCATGATTTGAACAACTTTGTTACAGGTCCATTTGACAATGTTTCATTCAATATCTGAGTTCTATCCTTTGCAGTTTCAGAGAAGTTTTTACTATACGCATCGAAAAAAAACCTATGACACTTCCAGTTGAGTGCGTTTAAAGAAGAAGAAAAACAATATTGAACAGTCACCCACAATGGGGCGGCTATGTCTATAATTTAAACAAACTTGGTAGAGGCGGGGCCATTTTCTACCACCATGTCTATAATTTAAACAAACTTGGTAGAGGTGCACAAGATAATTTACCTCAAGCAAAATAACTTTTTCTTGGCCTTGGGGTTCTCCTATTATTTCTCTTGGATTTGTTTGCCATGACAACCATACTTCTGGACAGAATCAAATTCTTTTTTCTTTAGAAGTCCTTCACCTACGAATAATCCTCACAAGTTTGGTCGAAATCATACTTTTTGAAAAGAAGATTAAAGTTCACTATATAAATATATAACGGACGAACGCAAGGTTAAGAAATCTAATTCCGAGAAAAGGAATTGTCTACCACGAAACATTTCCTTGGAATTATTCTACATTAGATAAAAGCAGATTAACTTTACTTAGAATATGGTATGAAGCCAAATAACTCTTAAACACTTTAGTAAATGGGAAAGAGGTATCATTAAATCTGGAAGCCTTGAGCATCGAAATTCTAGACGTCTCAATGTTTTAACCTACATGACGACATTTTGTCCATGTACATGCATTTTAACGCTATACATTCACATATTGTACTTAAATATGAGGATTTTAAACAAATCACTTGGCCTATTGTTCATATAGTGTATGTTCTGCCTTTAAACAAAATTACTGGACATTTGGCCATTGAGCATGGCTACACAAAATGGTACACGAAGAAAGATAACTGTTAAAAGGCCCTACATATATGAGTTCCAGCATTATTTCCCTTAGACTGGTTACTATTTGTTTCTGGTCAGGATATTCAGCATCACACATTTTATTAACCTACACAGAATGTACCTCGTTTAGGCCACAAGTATTTGTTTACTTGGGGACATTACGATGCTTTTCATAGAGTGCCATGATGGTATGAACACATTTGTAGATGTTTCTCAATTCAATATTTAATGTCGAATTCTGTTTAAGCTGTGCTGGGGGGGGGGGGGGGGTGTCTTGTACGGTAGCTTGCATCTACCAGTACCGTCCATGATCATTTTCAATTGTGTCATTTTAGCCGGTTTTCAGGGATGCACCTTTTCTCTATGTCACATTTCAGTTGGTAATTACAGAAATGAACTGAACTAAAAGAAAGGATATAACCAGAAAAAGGCCAAAGTATTTTCTGAGCTTACTGTATCTCAGCATTTCAAAATATGTCTGCTCAAAGCCCCTTTATAATATAGTTCAAATCGTTTAGCGAAAATTATCTGAAGCACTTAGATAATTTTGGACAATGCAACAATGGTAAAACTTTTTCAATTTTCAAAAAGAAATGATTACAAATTCAGGATTTCTTAAAGTTTCTCCAGGTACGTTTCCTAATTTCAGGACTACTGTGCTAGTTAGTTACTGTGTAGTAATTGTAGTCAAGTAAATACACCATCAAGGCAGTTGCAAAGCAAACTTCCTGTATCCTATACTTCAAGTAAGTACTTATGAGAAGATATAGCACTATAAATTGTACACGAAGTAGGATCTTGGCAATACAGACAAATCTGATGCAACATGTAGAACCTGTTGTTTGTTGGACCCAAATCCATACTTGAATGACCATCCTCGATTTTTCATATTTCAGTGTTGACAGGAAAAGTGTATGAATTCTATACATGTAATTCATTATTATCCAGTTTTATTCCACAAGTAAATTAACAGAACATAGGTGTCTAAGCACCTTATAACTAATGTTTGTAAATTTGTTTATAAGATATGACTAAGATGGATAATACCAGGATAATCCTTAATCCTTCTAAACTTAAGCTTAAGTAACTATAGTAATATTCTATATTTTCTATGTTTCTACAGGATATATAGCAATTTTGCATAGAAAACAAAACATGAATGAATTTATTAAATTTATTCTTGAAACATAAAAATACCAAATCAGTACATGCAGATTAAATAGGCATCTTGATAAAAAATACATGTACTAAAATATTTACTTAAATAATATGGAACTCACTTTCTGTAAGAAATTTAAATTACCTTCAACTTTTAATTGGTTAAACATTTAATTCATCCGACATTAAAATTCTTGTTTATGTTAACTATCGTAAAACATAAGAAACAATACATCTGAAGGTTTAAAGATTATACTTATTCTTACTTAATCTTATTTGAATAACTTAAACTTTATTTTGACAAATTCTATTTCCCAGCAATTTAAGCTTCCCACAACACTTTGAAAATTAAACAAGTACAGACAATAACAAACTTTGCTGAAGACAAAATTTTGAGGAGAAAAAAATCAATTCAATATATAACATTGAATGCGAAGGGAGGCAACTGTGTTATAAGTAACTGACATTCTATAAAAGTCATGAAAACTTGATTAGGACATAAATATTATGTCCTTGGTTATTCGGTCTATTTAGGTTTTTTAGAAAAAAAAAGTTTTAGCACCAAATTACACAGTAAAAAAATCAGGTAGAATTTACAATTTCCCCTCCATTCTTGTGAAGAATCACACCAAGTACATGTCCAGTCTATTTAAAGTGAATGAAAAACATGGGAAAATAATTCTATATTACTATTAATGAAATCTTCTACAAATAAAATAATGAGGCTTTTCACTGGACTGATACATATATTAAATGATTATGAAAGACTTTATTAACTTTAATCTTTGTAATATACAAAGAAATGAGCAGAATATATGATGCCACTATGATTATATACAATGATGAAAACATGCAACAAGTCTTCAAGTCATGCAGCCCCCATTTACACTGTAAAACCCTAATTTTTATTCTACTATTGGCTTTAAATATCTTTTTTTGCATGATGACATTTGAAGCAAATATTTGAGAAAAATGGCATTTTTGATACTATCATTAAATATAAATGACGCTTCCATCATTTACAAAAACAATGTAATAAAATAACGGCCTTATTCTATTTTTGTAAAATTTAGTTTTCTTTTTTTCTATTAACAAAAAAAATAATTTCAAGCCATATTAAAAATAGGTAATAATACAAGTACAAAGCTTCAAATCACACCAACACATCTAGAGCAAAAATAAAATATCATTTGCATTTTGAACGCTATTCATTATGTACAAAACTCTTAGAACCTAGAAAAGTCACAAAAATGAATATATACATTACAAGTACACAACACCTCAGAAATTAAAAATGAAAAAGCAAATGGTTCACCTCAGTCAATGAATTATACTCTAGACTCCTTTCCAAAAATGCTATCTTTATAACACAATATTCAATGCAAAATTCTGTCATCAAAATTTGTCCAGATAAAATCACCCAATGAAATATTTTAAAACAAAGGTTAAGAAAGTATGTGTTTTAATTAAGTTCTACTAATAAAAGTTAATGATAAATTAAAACTCTTATTTCATATAGATCTTACATTATACATAATCATATAGTTTTTTTTCATAGCACAAATTCCTATCTATATATGTTAAATCTAAAACCAATTACTTTTCTCTACATAAAAATAATAATACATCTAGAAAATAATACATTTCTACAGCTACTTTGCTGGATTTAACAAATGATAAAAAGGAAGAAGGAAAAACTCAGTCAATGACAAATAGTGAAATACTGAAACGCTATCCGCCGTTTATCTACATACAACTAAAATACACAAATATTAAATTTTGTACATTAATGGTATGTCCCATTAACTAAAACTTGTAATTCTACTACCAGTATTATGATACAAGGTGAAAAATAAAATAAAACAAACACATGAATTAATATATGTACAGATATTTGTATAAATTGTAAACTTTTATTCTTAAATAAAAAAGATGATAAATAGAAACATGAAAGAACAAAAAATTTCAATTCTTTAGTCTAACAGGAAACTGCTGCAAGATTGTGATTTTATACAACAGACAATTTACCTGCATGTAACTTTGAAATGAAATAAATAATATTTTGGCATGTATCAGTAAGTAATCGCTGTTGAATACTGTGTTATACATACAATGTATGCTAAATAAAACACTAAATTACCCTCTATGTCAAGGTGCTTTGTGTATCAATAATGTTTAAAGTTACATGAATTAATACCCTTGAAAAAAAATGCAAATAAAATCTTAGTAACATCAAAATTCAAGTACAATCCCTCAAGTGCACACTTCGCTATAATATGATTTAAAAACAATGCTTTTAAGAACAGATAATCATGGGTGTAAAAACATGCAAACGCAATCATGAAAACCAACTCTTGATAAACAAGTAAAATTGTGTAACAACATGTGCTTAAGAACAATTATAACAGATGATAAATGCTTGTATACGAGGCTTTGTCCACGGATCACTCACTGACCATACGTCCATGCATACAATCTTTATATTCTCACGACACATCTGAAATAGGATATATTACACATTTTATTTTACTCTTCATTAATAATCAGTAAATGAATTGCCATATTTTACACAGTTTTACAAAAGAATTAAGTTCAAGGTGACTTTAACTGTAAACCACTGTCTCATAAATCTTAAAACAAGATATTATTTTATTATTACAAGTCATTTTGTGCGTGTAACTTTTCATGGATTAAATATATTGCTTAACCTATATAGTGTATATCACCCACGTTTCAGTGTTTTTTAACTTGCCTGAATTACAACATTCATATGAGCCGTGTCACAACAAAACCAACATAATGGGTTTGCGACCAGCATGGATCCAGACCAGTCTGCACATCTGGATCAGGATCCATGCTGTTCGCTTACAAACTCTATAACAAGTAGAGAAACTGATAGCGAACAGCATGGAACAGCGGATGCGCAGGCTTGTCTGGATCCATGCTGGTCGCAAACCCATTATGTTGGTTTTGTCGTGACGCGGCTCAAATGCTGAAAAAGATTACCATACAGATGGACAGACTAAAAATTCAGATGCAAAATGTATGTCTTCTTTGGAGTTATGTAAATAAAAGCTACCTAGAAAGTAAAATATACTTACAACTTGCTACTGTATCCGAGGAGAATCTTTTTTGAATCTGATCATGATTGAACTTTAGAAATGCCTCGTACTGTTCTGTAAACATTCAATTATAAAATATTTATTAATTTGAACACAAATGCAGAGTAATGTAACTGTCTATAAGTGTCTTCCGAACTTGCAAATTAACAGCAAATTAATAACAAGATATTATTTTATTAAAACAATACAAAGATATGTCCAGCATATCAATTAATAACAAAACATAGGTCTAAGAATATAAATTTTGTTTTCATGATATTGTTCATAAATACTTGCTTAAACAGTAAGTATATAAATTATGTATCTTCTGTTCATAACAGGATAATCTCATGAAGCTTTGTCATATATTCCTTACTTGTTAGATATTCAGCAAAGATCATTTTCAGTTTTGAGTATTTTACTAACATGTCATGACCCTTCAGTCTAAACCAAAATGATTTAATGCTTTCACATTCAGCTGTTTAGTTAGTCCACGGACAGACAGCATGGCATATGGACACATGCAAAACAATTTTCATCTCATCCAATGTGAAGACATAAATTTCTGTGATGCTTACCAAATAAATTTCAATTGTTGAATCGAACAAAACTGACTAGTTAGAACCCAGCATGATAAAATACAACAGAATAGCATTCATACACTTTCAAGGCTTTTTCCACCTATATAGCATGGGCCATTTAGAAACAACCTGTTTTCCCTTAGGAAAATTCTTTAGAATCATGCAGTTTTTCCTAAAATTCAATTTATGCCACTTTTTTCTTCCCCCTTTTGAAAAATTACTGTATCATTTCCCACCAAATACAAGGGAATGGTACCTTCCTCCATCTTTGATAAAAGCCCTGATTTTCATATATATACAACATTCATCATTTTAATATACATGTATTTGTATTAGTTTTTGTAATAATAAGAAAGTTGTCTTGCTAGTAAACTCATATCAATTACTGGTAATACTTAATTACACAACTTATTGAGCAACTTTAATATAGTAGAGAAAGAAAACTACTTCTCCCCTCACCTGCCATTTTGCATGTTAGAACACTGTTATACTGTTCACGGATTTGTGATTCTCTTTCTTTCAGCATTCTTTCACATATCATGCTCACTTGTTTAAATGTGAACAAAGGAATGTCACGTTTGTTTGGAGATAGGGCAGTAAATAGACTGTTCGAGCTACACTGAACTAGACTTTGAACACTAGAACTATCCATGGCAGACGGTGATGCCACATTATCTGTTGAGGTTGACTGGCTAGGACTATTTGGTGGTGATAGATTTGAACTAGAGTGTGGAAAATGAAGTTGCTTCCTCTTTTGTAGACGACGTATCTCCATCGTTAAATTTGCAGCTATTTGCTCTAAAAAGAAAAAAATATGATTATTTAAAATTTACGAATCTTTTTCAGAATACATGATTGACCTTTTTTTAAAATCCTTGGCTATAAGCCTTATCCAGTTTTACTATTAAATTTAGCTCTGGAGAAACACATCTAATGCAGTTCACAGCAGTACTATCTGATATTATTAAAAAAACATTTAAATATTTATTTAACTCTTGAAGGCAGAAAAAACTTGATGTGTCAGAAATTATAAATGTTCTTTTACTATCTACCCAAAGTTTTACAAAAATTTAAACGAAAATTTAAAAGTAAAAAAAATAATTAAAATTTAAAGTGACATCTAGTTGTCATAATAAATAGTGATTATTTCTGCTTTTAAAAATCTTACGTTTTGTGTATTAAGTGTGAAATTATATAGAATATTAAATATTTATTGTTGATGAATATTTATAATATTCTTTAATTTTAATACCAAAACTGCAAAAAATAATACTTAGTTGCTATTACAGTTTACACGCCATTAAGATTTACCCAGTGCTGGCATGAACTTAAAATACCAGAAAAACGTGTTAAGCTAAGTTTTCAGTTTGGGAATAAGCCTTACAAGAGACAAAAAAGTTTTGATTCTAAATATAACACATGTTTGACATTGTTGACACTGATATTTTTTATATCACAGCTCCTGTCTGGTTATATAAAAGTAATTATAATAGAAAAGTGTTTGCCAAAATCTTGCTTTTAAACAATTGCCAATGTTAGACTTGACTAGCTCAGCATGCTAACAATCCTCTTGCAGATTCTATTATTTACTTGCAAACCAAATATGGAAAAAATATAATTGCTATCCAAATTCCAGTCACTAAGCAAACTACTTTAGTACAATACAGATATATTCATTCACATTGAAGAAAATGAAAACATTTTCATGTAAAAAAAATAAATAAGAAAAGTGAAAAACTGAAGCCAAATAGCAGACGTAAGCATAATTTTCTTTGTTGTAAAATTTCAAATTTGACGTTTTGACAGGGACTCACCAGAAGTTAGTTTAGGATTTACATCACCAAAGGGGGAAGGCTGGGCATGTCTAGGAGGTGTTGATGGAGATAAATTCATTGGTGCACATCTTCTTCTCTTTGGAGTAGTTTGACCTGGGCTATGGAGGGGATCAAAATCCAAACTCCTTTTCAACGTCGCTCCGCAAGCCATCTATAAACCTTAGGCAACTTCAAGAATGAAATATGTAATACAGGAATGAGTACGAAGTAAAATGTTAAATTCAGCGTATAAATGATAGTTATTCGCTTGCTTTAACACAAATTACAGGTAATCTTGAACGTGAATGCGGAGGATGATGGACGATTTCTATAGAGATTCGTTTCTGTTCAACCAAAATGGCTACCAAATCAAAACAATCTGTCGGCAATTTCCGCCATTCTCCGATTAATTCCGTAAAGACTAAAACGCCCTTTAAAAATATCGTTGTCATCTACCTGAAAAAGTGTGAAATGACACACACACACACACAAAAAAAAAAAAAAAGAGAGAAAGAAAAAACTTATTAATGGAACAATAGATTATCCATTTGTATCATTTCCAACAAGACAATACACATTGTAATGATTATTAAATGACTTGTGCCACATTATGCCTCAGTAAAATGACAGATTAGGTCCGTGGGACGCCTGCAGGACAGGGCGGACCGTGAGACAGGGCGGACCATACCAGGGCGGACCGTGACTCGAGACTAGGCGGACCATATTTTGGGACAGGGCGGACCGTCACTCGAGACTAGGCGGACCTTGATTTAAAAAAGTACATTTTTGTATTTATATGTGTACTAATGTAATAATATGACTCGCCATTAAAACTGGATCGGGTTCCTCCCTGGGAAAAAAAAGAAATCTGCATGTTAAATGTTGACTTCTTTAACATGGACGAGTAATAATTTCTGCTCCATTTGTTGTCCGTGGGCAATTGGCAAAAAATCATATTTCCAGTTTACCACACCCCTGGCTTTTTCATTAATGGACTGAGAAACGTGCAATTAAAAGAACTACGCACGTCTTATTATGGATATGCAACAAGAAAATACAACAAGGATCAACAATGCTAATTAAGTTACATTCAGAGAATGCAGTCCCCACACTGGAAC